GTTCGTTTTTGCTTCGGCGGTCATCCCCTGGGGCCACCTCCGCTTTTGCTTCGCGACTCCGCCCATCCGTTGCCCGCTGCGCCCCTCCAGCGACGGGCGGGGACATCCCACGGCCGTGCGCCTCCGCTTTTCCGCTCCCCCCCCCCCACCACACACAAACGCAACGGCACTCTGTGCGCTGGTGCCTTTGCTGCGTTGAGGGGACGGAGAAAAGCAACGCAACGCCCCGTCGATGGTGCGTGGGCACGAGGAAGGACGAACTGGGACGAAATAAATGTGCCTCTTTTCCCCCTGCGGGCGAAGACTACGCACCGTAATTGTTTGTTTGTTTGGCTTTCGGTCGTAAGGTACGTGGGAGAAAATATATTAGTTCCTTTTTTTTTGTGCTTTTCGTTTCACCGCGTGCTCGGTGGGTTGCCGCTGCCTGGGCTGCAGTGCCGGCCCCGGCACTAATCCCTCGTCTTTCACTCTTACATCTTTTATTCGTGTGTGTGTGTGCCCTCCCGCAGGCGTTGCTTTTCTTTCTTATTTGCGCTGCGTGTCTGCAGGACACGCACAACCGCATGATAAATCTAAACTGCAGTGCGCGTGTACAATTCCCTCCTGGCCGCGGCGTGCACTCGGTGGGCTGCCGCCTTTTTTTTTCTTCCGTCTGTGCTGTCTCCGCTGCCCTCTATTTGTTTCCTTCCTTCTCTTCCTTCGCCCTCTCCACCGCCTCGCAGCCCAGCGACTCTGCTGCCACTACTACTGCGGCGGATGGCGACGACGCTGGCGGTGCGGCGCCGTGCGGTGTGCGCCCTGGCGCTCCTCGCGCTGCTCTGCGGGGCGGGAACTGTGGCGCCTGCTGAAGCGCCTCCGGTGATTGTGTCGGTGGAGGTGTCGTGCCTGAGCACTGAACAGAAGTTGAGTTGGCGCTTTTCTGGCAAGGGGCATTCTGCTGACTGGAGGAAGTGCCATAGCACACCGGATGTTTTTGGGAGCGGTGAAAGCGATGCCCTCAGTGCTTCCCTTTGCATCTTTGCCGCGTCGCTATACAACGACCCCGGATTGGGCGTGGAATGCCCTTCCTCGCCCACAGCAGGGGAAACCAAGAAGGTTGCATTCACTATGGAATGCACGACGGATGAAGGCAGTGTGATGCACAGGCGCTCGAAGGGCGAAACCGCCACCTCCACTGCAACGGACAATCCACTGGGTGAGTCAGGCAGCTGTGTGTTACGGACCTCCAGTCGAAGCACGGCGCACCAGCACGAGGATGCGCCTCAGGGAGCTCGGCCACCCGCTGCAGAAGAACAACACCCACGACCACCGGAGGCATCTGCGGCTTCGCCATCACCGAGGACAGAGCCCAGGGCAGCAGATGCACCCGGAGGTACACAAACACCTTCAACCCCCCAAGGCCGATCTGGCACCCCCAACGCCGCCCCTCCCGCCGGCGGCAACGATGCAACCACCGCCACTACTACAACGACGACCACCAGCAGTCCGAGTGCTGGGAGCCACGCGAAAAGCAACGCGGACGGCAGTGCCACCAACAGCAACACCACTCAGAAAGCCGTGGCAAACGCTGCGGATCGCAGTGCCACCTCCACTCCGTTTGTGCGTGCACCTCTCATGCTGCTACTCACGGCCGCCCTTGCCTGCGCTGCTGGGTAAGTGGTGAGGGGCAAAAGATACACACCCACACACCCTGGCAGGGATGACGCGTACGCATTGTGCGCTCATTTTGCTTGTCGTCCCTGTGGGTCAATCCTTCAATCTCTCCTGTGCTCTGAGGGATGTTTTCTTTTCTTCTTTTCTTTTTGCTTCGCCACTCCATGCACGTTCCCACGGTCGGCGCATCCTTTTCCCCCTTCTGTTTGCTGCTGCTTCCACATACACACACAAACACGCGGTGCCGGCCGCATTGCTCTGCGCCGCACGGATTTTGACGCAACTGCCGGTAGAAGTGCGGGCCGAACGCCGCATGAAATGGGCGAAGGATGTGTGGGCTCCTGCAGCATGGGCGATGTTTTTTCTTCTTGCAGGGATTAAAATACACATGCATCTCTCACGGTCCTCGTGTGCTGCTGGACACGTGAGGTGAAGGAACACCACCTGCCGAAGTAATTTCTTTTATATATTTTTCTTTTGGGGGTCCTGCGGGGATTACTCACATCTCTTTTCCGTCTCTTCTTTTCCTTTTTCTTTTGCGGCCCGGGCGATGCCCACCGCTGCCGTGTGGGCCCCAGCGCCGCTGCCGCCACTGCCGTGTGGGGTAGTGCCGTTCTTAAATCCCTCTTCTGCCGGTGTGTCGAGACGCCTCTGCGTTGTCTTCCTTTTTTCTCTGCCACTTCTCCTCCCACACGCACGCAGAAGGAAAAGAGAGACCAAACGCTGCTTGCCGCTGTGCG